TTTTTTTTGAGTCAGAGTCTCACTCTGTCACCCAGGCTAGAGTGCAGTGGCATGATCACAACCACTGCAGCAGCGACCTGCTGGGCTCAGGTGATCCTCCTGCCTCAGCCTCCCGAGTAGCTGGAACTACAGGCACATGCAACCACACCTGGCTAATTTTTTTGTTTTTTCTAGAGAGGAGGTCTCGCCTTATTGCCCAGGCTGGTATCCAACTCCTGGGCTCAAGTGATCCTCCCATCTCAGCCTCCCAAAGTGTTGGGATTACAAGCGAGAGCCACCTCCCTCAGATACAGTTAGTAATTTCAAATGTGCCCTTTAATCCCTGTGCACTAGTACCTTTTTCAAAACTCTGAAAATTGATTGCTGTGAAGGATGAGAGGAATCAGCCCTGATTTCGGAGGACAACAGGTCACTTCTGCTCAAGAGCCTCCAAGAAGCAGGCTGGCCATTTATTGTGTGCCTCTGCTCCCTCTCTTGGGGCTCAGGCTGACCCAGCTCCCCTTGCAGTGAAGACACCATAGGGGTCTTCTCAGCAGGGGCACAGCCAGGCAACACGTGGCCCCTGCAGGGCTGCAGAGCTGCACTGCCTTTTCAGCACAGCCCAGATACCCCTGTGTTCATTAGGGCTCTATCGTGTGCCTTCAGTGTCCCTTCTAGCTGCCAGTTGAGGGTGCATCTCAGAAAGGACCTGTCCCCCTCCTGGGTGGCTGACAGAGCTCGGGACCCTTTCCAGTGGTATCCTGAGCTCATCATGAAGGAGAAGGGGCAGACTCTCAGGGCCTCACAGGCTGTGATTCTGGGTAAGCCCTGGCAACTTCATCTCTCACTGTGGGCAGTGCTGACACCTGTCACGGTCAGGCGAACAGGCCTGCCTGACGCAGGAGGGAAATGGACAGGGAACACACGGGGAACATAGGCAGGGGACACACAGGGGACATGGGTGGGGGACATGAGGGATACGGTGGTGGACATGAAGAGGCCATGGGTAGGGGACACGTGGGGAACGTGGGCAGGGGACACTTGGGGGGATACACTGGGGGACACGCAGATGGCATGGGCAGGAGACATGCAGAGGGCATGAGCGGGGGCACGCAGGGGACATGGGCGGGACACATGGGGGCCATGGGGAGGGGACACGCGGGGGGTACGGTAAGGGCCACAGGTTGGGTACACGTGGGGGACATGGGCAGGGGACACATGTGAGACATAGATTGGGGACATGCAGACGACTTGGCTGGGGAACATGTGGGGGAAACGCAGAGGATATAGGCAGGGGATACGCAGCGGGCATGGGAGGGGACACGCAGGGGATACGGTGGGGGACACTTGGGGGATCAGTGGGGGACATGCAGAGGAATGGCCGGGGAACACGCAGGGGACACGCAGAGGACATGGGCGGGGGACTCGCGGGGGACATGAGCAGGGGACACGCAGAGGACATGGGCGGGGGCCACGGGGGCTCGCGGAGAATACGAGGGAGGGACACGGGGAAG